CATAGCACGAACATCGTCCAGGGCGGCGTTGCTGGCCATCGGCTGACCCTGCACAAGCTTCAACAAATCCGGGATGGGAAGAACTTTGGCGCCGAGTGCAGCGCGAACCTCCCTGGACTCACGGGCGGCGGCCGGGTCCCCATCGGGCTTCTCGGCCAGCTCCTCGCGCAGGTCAGCCGCGATGTCGAACTGGTGCACGTCCGCCGCATCCTCTGTCCAATCGGCTTCGGGGTCGAACCCTGGCGGCGTCTTCTCCGCATCCGCCTTGTCCTCGCCCCTCTGCCCCTGGGTCGCCAGGCTGGCAAAGCCTGGCCCCGACCCCTGGGATTCGCCTGCCACCGCTTGCTCCCCGCCCGCTGGCCTTCTTGCCGCCTCCAACTCGGTCCGCATGCGCGCGCGCGCATCCTCCGCGACCTCCGCGAAGCAGTTGATCTCCGCACCTAGCGTCTCGTACTCGGTGCCGTCCAAATCGCGCCCCTCAGGCAAGACGTCCGAGATGCGCTCGACCCCCTTGAGCAGAAGGTCCTGGGCCTTGACCAACGATGCAATGTTCCCGTCCCACTCGAACGCTCTCAGCTCCGTGACCCCGGCCTCGCAGTAGTTGAGGCCCTCCGGGCAGGAGGCCTGGCGCGCCCCTCCGCTCACCTGCGCCGCAGGGGCGATCGCGGCACCCCCGGGCGCCGCTTTACTCTTCTTGGCAGGAGGCCCGGTCGCGCCGCCCTGATCTATCGAAGCTTCCACCCCCGCAGAACTGGCAAAGCCTGGCTCAAGCGGGACCCCGCGGCCACCCTGACTCATTGAAGCCTCGGTGGGGCAGGGTTCCACCCGCGCCGCAGAGGCGGTCGCCTGGCCCCCGGGCATCGCGGGAGCGTTCTGGAAATGATACGGGAACGTTGGCTTGCGACTCGGTGCCTGCGTCGGAGAGCTGGCAAGGCCTGGCGCTGCTGGAAGGCCTGGTGCCTGCGTCGGAGAGCTGGAAGACCCCGCAGGACTGGCAAAGCCTGGCTCAAGCGGGATCCCCTCCAGGCCCTCTGGGGGCACGTCGTCTTCCCAGGTACCGTGTCTCGCCAGGCAGCTCTTGCAGTTGTCGCGGGCATGCTGTGGAAGGAGCCCCTGGCCCTTGACGGCGTGCAAGAGCACGCGCCACGCCGCCGCGTGATGCCGTTTGGGGGTGTCCTTGAACATCGTTGTCTCAGTGTAGGGGCGCCCCTCCATGTGCTTCATGTGGTTGTTCCGCGTGATCTCGAACTCCAGAGTTATATGGGGCTCGCGGTGCAGGTGGACTTCCAGGTTCTGCTCGAAGACGTGGTCGCCTCGGTTGCCCTGCGAGGTCTTGGAGCTCTTGTCCACGACCTGAGGGTCACCCTCGTAAGCATTCCCGGGGAACCCCATATGGCCTCCACTATGGTTCAAGATAACCGGAGATGGCTCAAGATGGCTCCTCCCACGGAGGCCCCCGAAGACCCCCGAAATCCCAAATGGCCAACCCAAGTGCCGAGTGGCCACAAACATCTTTGGAAGCACAGAGACCTTCAGCACGCCTGGTGCTGCCAGCAAGTTCGTCTTGAACCCCTCCCGAGTCAGCAGGCGCTGAGGATGGAGTTCCACCATGCCCGAAAAGGAAGTGCCCTTGTACTCGTATCGTTGCGCGAGTCTGCGCGAGCCCGCGTAGGGTGCCTCTGTCCTTGGGGCTGGCAAAGCCTGGCCCTGGGACACAGGCAGCGCATGTCTGAGCATGCGGGCGGCGGCGGCCATGGCCGCGGGACCGGCCAAAGGTCCGCGGGAACTCTCCGAACACAGAACCGTGATGGGCTGCGGTCTGACGGCGTCAACGCTGACACAGCATACAGCACGGCATGATGATACAAAGCCCCGGGAACGATTCAGGAGCTCCCAGGGGAACCTGCAAGGACGTACCGACGCCGACTCCATCAGCGACGGCGAACGACGACTCCAGGGGCCCGCGCCGGCATCCTGTCGGCGTTTCCCTTTTTATGTCGATGGCCCAACCTCAAAACGGAACCCGAACCCCTCCCAGGGGCCCTCGCCGGCATCCTGTCGGTTCTCTTTTTATGTAGACGGCCGAACTCCACGGGCCCAGACGCCCCAGTTTTTCGATTCGCTTCCAGCCGCGGCGGCGAGCCCGCGCGGCCGCCCGAAGGAACGGGGCGCGCTCGGAGAGAGCGGCTGGCAAAGCCTAGCCTGTACTGGTGGGTGCACGGGGCCTCGCCCGCACGCACGGCACGCACGAACACGAAACCGAAATCGATTTCCCGGTAGGGGGGCTCTCCGTTCCACTTCGATCTCACCCCCCAACCTCCGATCACAATCGATCTCACAATCGACGTCGTCATCATCTTCATCATCAGCATCAACAACATCAACATCATCATCATCATCATCATCATCGCCATCATCAACATCATCATCATCATCACCATCACCATCATCACCATCATCATCATCATAATCATCATCAACATCATCATCGGGACACCGACGGGACACCGACGGGACACCACCGGGACACCAGCGGGACACCGCGCGGCCCCGCGCCCCGGTGGAGAATCATGTGGTGCGGCCGCGCCTCAGCCGCAGAGGACACCACCGGGACACCGGCGGGACACTGCGCGGCCCCGCGCCCCGGTGGAGAATCATTTGGTCCGGCCGCGCCTCAGCCACAGGAGACTTTCCTCTCGCCCGCCCAGGCAGCTTCGCCTCGCCCGCACGCACGGCACGCACGAACACGAAACCGAAATCGATTTCCCGGTAGGGGGGCTCTCCGTTCCACTTCGATCGCACCCCCCAACCTCCGACGTGGCCGTTTGGGCCGCAGGGGATATCGGCACAGCGCCCTCGCCCCTTCTCCTCTTCCCTCCTCCTCTGAGTGCCTCTCGGTGCGACTCGGGGTGAGCAAAACGTTCGAACCCCGCTGTATGGGCCATAGCTCCTGTTGCCTGCACCGATGCGGGGCATCGAGCGGCAGGGAGGAACTGTTTTTCGGGCTAGGCGTAGTACTGTGTCCGTGGCACTGCCGCCTTGGTGGATCCTTCCAAGCATATAATATTTGATGGTTTGCCGTGAAAATCCTCCTCCTCCTCCTCCTCCTCCTCCTCCTACTCATCCTCGCCCTTCTCCTCCTCCTCCTCCTCCTCCTCCTCCTCCTCCTCCTCGTTCTCATCTTCCTCCTCTTCCTGCTCCCTCCTCCTCTTCCTTCTCCTCCTCCCCCCCTCCTGCTTTTCCTCCTCCTCCCTTCTCCCCTTCCTTCTTCTGCTCCTCCTCTTCCTCCTCTGTTGTGTGACTTACACTTGTAGTTCGAATCGCTGTAAGGCAGGATGATACAGTTCAAGGAAGTGTCAAGCCATAGCCCCGTTGTGCTCCATCCGAGCAAACGGTTTGCACAATGTCGAAGCCACGGTTTAAGAAATTGCGGAGGTTTCAAAAGAGAGCCCCATCTTGAAAATTAGCCGCCACCCACCGTGTAGCAGTTCACATAATTTGGAGCATCGCGGGTCGTAGAGTGTGAGGAGTTCGCGCACGAAAACCACATTATGATGTCCGGCATTGTTCAAACGAAGATGCGTGACGCTGGTGCGAAAGCCGCATTTCGAAAACCGCTGGCCCCCCATTCTTGCTATTGTGGGCAGCTGTAAATGCGAATACGCGCGGCGCAAAGGTGAACTATGCATTTTGCAAAGGAGGTTCCAAGGAAAACGCCCGGCCCGGCCTACGGCACGCCCGACAGTGCGACAGGGGGTGTATTCGCAAAGAACAGGAGGAGGAGAAAGAGAAAGAGAAAGAGAAAGAGAAAGAGAAAGAGAAAGAGAAAGAGGAGGAAGAAGAGGAGCATTCGACGGGAGGCGCACGGCAGGATCAGTGATGGCGTGTTGGGTTTCCTCTGGTCATCCGCCCTCCCCCTTCCCGTCCTGCTCCACCTAGCCCCGCTTCTGTCCCCACCCCTTGCTCCTTCCTCCTCCCTAGATCAAAGCGGTCAGCTTGTCGTCATGTTCTGCGCCTCGAGGCCAGTTTGGGGCCCCGAGACCGTCAAACAATTGCCTAGGGGGCACGTGGTTGGGGAGGTGGTCGGGGCCCGTGCCACGGAATGATCGAAGCGTTGGTGCCTGGGTTGTCCCCCCTCATCCCGATCCCTCCCCCCTCTCCAGTTTGTCGTTCTCCCCCGCCTCCTCCTCCCCCTCCCCCTCCTCCCCCTCCTCCTCCTCCTCCTCCTCCTGCCCTGCTCCGTTCCCCTGCACCATTCGCCCTCCTCTTCCTCCTCCGCCGCCTCCTCCTCGTAGTCGCCGCCTCGGCCTGCCACGCCCTCTCGCTGCCGCGAGCGCGGCGGGAAGGTTTTTTTGGGGGGGGCTCCCCCCGCTGCCTCCGCTGGCCTGCCGAAGCTCGACCATCGGGGGCGGCAAAGAGGGGGGTGACGACTAGGGGGGGGGGAATTCAGGAGGGAAAAGAACACACAGACACAATTCATCTTCGATTCCCCAGATAATATGGGAAAATATGGGAAGTGGGGGGGAAGACAAAAACCCAGGAAATATTGGAAAAAAACGGGGAACAGTTTTATTTGTGTGTATTTCTTTGTGTGTCCTGGGGCCCCTTCATGGACATCATGGCGGGGGCCATGATATTTCCCCAGATTTTATGGCGCCTCTTGTGATTTCATGACGTCCCTGGCCCCCCCCCTCGGGGCCGCGCACGTGCCGCCGGTCATGGTTTGCACCCCCCCCCTCTTGGACCCCCCCCCCTCTTGGCCGCTCCCGACGACAGAGGAAGTGTCCATCCGATCCCCAGACACCCGACGTCACGAGTTCTGCAAGACGCGGGCCCCCGACCTCCTGGCCACTGCTCCGGGGCCCGTGTTTCGTCCCGGGGCGCGCCTTGACGAGGCCCCAGCGAGGGCCCCGAGAGGCCGGAAAAACGACGAACAATGTCCGTCTCGATTTTCTCGAGGCGCCCGAGATTTGCGTCCTCCTCGCCGTCCGCCCCCGCAGGAACAGGCGGAGCATCGGCAGAGGCTGCGGTGGGTGCAGAGCTCGCGGACGGACGGGCAGTACCCCATCCGCTCCGTTTGGGTCCACCCGCAGATGAAGGGCGGGGCCCTCAACGAGTTCGCGCGGCGCGCTCGCCAGAAGATGGCGGAGACCCGGGGACGCGGACAACGGCAGGTTCGCGCCGTGTTGACGCAGCAACGACCCCAGATCGGGCGTTCAAGGGTGAACGCCGCCTGTGGCCTATGATGTCCCAACATGCTTGCATTGATCGCCAGGGCAACATCGAGCACCAAAGACATACGGAAACGAGAGGGTTCTCATGTGTCGGGCCCTGGATGGTGATACTCGCTCGACACTGTTGCGATACTTCTCCTGGGTGCTCGAAATCATGTCTGGGACGTGGTCCTTACGTAGGACGGGAGCAGCACGACCTGTGGCACGGAGTCGGCCGAGATCGGAGGATCTACGCCATCGGGAAGCCGCGACCGCTCGAGGTTGAGCGACCCACGTGGTGTCATGCTGTGCCGTCTGGGAGCGTCGGGAGCTCGAGAAGACCCTAGCCCCAGAAACAGTGACAAATCCTGGGGGAACCACTGGTTTTTGCCTGTCGCGCTCCGCGATTCGGGAGGAACCGGCGCTCGAGCCCTCACGGCACGAGTCTGCCGCACGGCTTCGGCGCAGGAGCAGCGACGGCAGGACCCGTCCTGGGGGCGCGACCTGGCCAGGAACTCCCAGGGGAGCTCGGCCGTGGCCACGGGCGCGCCCACAGAAGCCCAAAAACTCAGGAGGGGAGAAAACACACAGACACAATGAGTCGGCGATTCCCCCGAAAATATGGGAAAACATGGGAAGTGGGGGGGAAGACCAAAACCCAGAAACTATGAGAAAATATGGGGAACCGTTTTATTTGTGTGTATTTCTTTGTGTGTCCCAGGGCCCCTTCAGGAACTACGAGAAGGCTCCTGCCTACGATGCTCGAACCTCGATGCTCGGCGCGCTCCTGCGACGCCGACCCACCGCCGATCCTCGGCACGAGCCCATTGCACTTGTCTGCGCTGGCCCTTGCCTGCGCCACTCCGGGGCGCAGGGATCGGCGCGCACGCCTGCCCCTCCGGGCCCGGAGGTCAGAGGCTCGGCCACCATGCGACACGGGCAGAGGGCTCAGCCTATAGACTGCGCGGCGATCTTGCTAGAGGCGGTGGTACGAAGCTCCACGCTGCTCTCGCGCAGGCTGTGCTGCCTGGCGAAGGGGGGAGAGGGCCCAGACATCCGACGTCACGCTTTTTTCGAGACCAAGGGCCCCTGACCCCCCGACCTCCCGACCACTTCCCTGGGACCCGCTCTTCATCCCGAGTCGTTCTTGGACGGTCCCGAGGCCCCGGCGAGGGCCCCGAGAGGCCGACAGCGACGAACACAACAAATCCGCCTCGATTTTCTCGAGGCGCCCGATGTTCAGGGAGGGGGGAAGCAGGCAGCGCGCAGGTGGGAGGCCGGGGCCGGCGCGGCGGGCGGGTGGGCCGGGGGGGCTGGGCGGAGACAGCATGCCGGCAGGACCTCGCCGGCTGGGCATCTGCACCGGCCTTGGGCCCAGGGTGGGCCCGGCCAGGATCAGCGCGGGTGCAGATCAGAGGCGCGAGGAGGATGGGGATCAAGGAGGAGGGGGAGGGGGAGGAGGCGGAGGATGAGGAGGATCGAGGAGGGGGGGGGGGAGCAGCAGGATGGAGGAGGTGGAGGAGGCGGAGGAGGAGGAGGAGGAGGAGGAGGATCGAGGAGGAGGGGGAGGAGCAAGATAGAGGAGAAGGAGGAGGAGCAGGATAGAGGAAGAGGAGGAGGAGGAGGAGGAGGAGGAGGAGGAGGAGGAGCAGGATGGAGGCGGAGGAGAAGGAGGACCTCCCTTCTCCCTCGGTCTACCCGATTATGGTAGTGGTGGTGGATGATTGGCCCACCAAATGCGCAGGTTCAGGTCAGAGGAGCAGGGAGTCATCACAGCGATGCGTTCCAGATGTGACCAAGCGCTCACTCCAGAAGCGAGGGCCGCCAGGTGCTCCGGATCATCTACTCAAGATTTCGTAGTAAAGGGAGGGGGGTCTCATTTCGGGGGGGGGGTCTCTTCCAGGCTATCTTGGAGGGCCTGGGGGGGTCTGGGGACGATGTTTTGGAGGGTTCTCCCACGGGGGAGGTCTGAAATGGCTTGTCTTGGAGGGTCCAGACCCCCTCCCTTTTACTACGAAATCTGGAGTAGGCCTCCTAGACGGGGTCTGAGCAGATGGGGTCGGAGGATCGAGCCGCATCGCCGATGCATCGCCGATGCGGCACGATGCGGAGCCCGATTTTCTCCACGCCGACGTCGCCGACGCATTGGCGACGTCGCCGAGGCATCGTCAATGCATCGTCGATGTATTGGCGATGCATCGGCGATGCAGCGCGATCCTCCGACCCCATCTACCTGGACTCCATCTAGGAAGCCTCTAGAACTCCTAGCACGTATCCTGTGTCCTCGTATCAAAGGTTGGCTCTCCCTCAGGGAGTCGGGGGGGTCGACGAGGGGGGAGGGCCGACGTTGGGGTGGCCAGGGCCATGAGTCGAGCAGTGGCGAAGCGTCCTGGCTTGCCATTTGGCCCCCCAAAGAATGTTCTAAGAACCTCTTGTGGTCTGCACGGAATGTTATCATCACATTATGGCTGAGACTGTCGTGTTTAAACACCTCGGGGCTACGTTCTAAGAACATCGTTTTGTTAGTACAGCATTTTTTGGTTATCGGAAGAATTTCGCGGTAGGCCTATAGGGATGTCGGGACGGTCGGTCCCTGCTCCACATGAGGTCTCCCAGATTTCATGGCCCTTCTTCTTGTCGATCATCCTCAGGACGTGTGTTAGCCCAATGTGTGTTTGCCCCATCCTGGCCCCCATTTCCGGCACGTCTCGAGAAGTAGGGCGCAGCCGCCGAAGTTGGGGGGGCCCCCAAGGACTTCGAGACCGTTTTTGTATCTCCTGGTGAGAACTAGCGTGACCAGGGGGAGCGGGGGAGTTCGATAGCAAATTATGGCAGCCTTATGTCCTCGGAATTCCGCCTTTAGAGTGCACTAGCGTGCGCTAGGGTTTCGTAATCGATGAGAAACCGCCGAGTTCTCGTCGATTACCGTTGATTCAGCGTCGGACAGCGTCGATTCACAAGAGCCTGCAAGATGGCATGGGAGGCCCCCATGAGTTGTCACCGAAGTGGGGGAGCGGGCCAGTCACTCCGCGATTCGCGCCGGCGCCGTCTGGGATTGCACGAGATCACGGCCAACTCCTGGACGGCGCCGGCGCGAATCGTGACGTGACCAGCGGGGGGGGAGCCCAGACATCCGATGTTTTGAGTGTCTCAATACGGCCCCCCCCAAGGAGTTCTGGACCTTTCCCCTGGGACCTGTGCGTAACTTTTGACGGTCCCGGGCACGGCGAGGGCGCACAAACATTCCGTCTCGAGTTTCTCGAGACGTGGGCACGCGCGCTATCGCGGATAAGAAATTACCCGAGACGTGCCCAACCATTTCTCCACGCCAGGCGAGCATCTGCATGAACGATGCACACCAAAGAACACATCGCCAGATCTGCGCTACCCTCATCTCCGCCGTGCCTCCCAGGAGCCCACGAAACTGGCGACGGTTGCGCATTTCGTAGCCTCCCAGGGGGCCGCGAGGTCTCGGCTGGATCCGCGTGGCCCCCGACTCCGCTGGACCTCCCAGGAGCCCACGAAAGTGGCGACGGTTGCGCAGGTCGCAGCCTCCCAAGGAGCAGCGCAGGAGGAAGCAGGAGGGAGGAGGAGGGGGGAGGAGGGAAGTGGATACCACAGTGCCTCCATACAAACAGAGAAGTCAACTTAAAGGAGGGTCTGGAAAAAGACGGGCTCCAATGGCCTGGCCCAGGATCCAGCGCGGTGGGGCGGATGGCCAGCGGCGCCCCCCCCCGGCAGGATTACCAAGCGCGCTATAGGCTTAATGGGTACCCAAACCCATCTTTAAGGATGAGGCGCCCATCAACGAAGGAGGAGGAGGGGGAGGAGGAGAAGGAGGAGGAGGAGGAGGAGGAGGAGAAGGAGGCCCTTTAGGAGGACGAGGAGGCCCCCCCCGAGCAGGAGAGCCCGGTGGCCATGAGGCGGGAAGCGGTCATGCTGTTCGGGCCCCCGGCCGCGGGCAAGAGCTCCATCGGCCGGCTGAGGGCGGACGCCCGGGTCCCTTCAAGCAGTGGCGCAGCGTCCTGGGTCGCCTACAGGCTTACCAAATAATGTTTTAAGAATCTTGTTGTGGTTTCCACGAAATGTTTTTAGAATATTGCTGACTGGGGCTGTCTCGTTTTAACACATCGGGCTTGTGTTCTAAGAGCATTGTTTTTGTTCTTAGAACATTTTTGGGTTCTAAGAACATCTCGTGGTAGGCCCATAGGAATGCCGGGACGGTCAATGGGTGGGGGGGCGGGGGGGCGGGGGCGTTCGGGCGCTGCCAAGGGGCAGTGACGTGTGGTCAGGGGCAACGTTGGGGACCAGAGTGGGAAAGGGGCACAACACACAAGCACGAACGTGGATTCTCAATCAGACATGGGGAGATCTGGGAAGAGGAGGAAGCAGACAATCCGGGAAGAAGAAAAGATACCGAAAATCATTGAATTTGTGCCGATGTGTTTGTGCCCCCCATGGGCCCCGTGCAAAGGGGAGAATCGGCTCAGGGGGGTGCGCATGGACCCCCAATCGCCCACTGATCGCCGCTGGGGGCCCGATGGCCCACCCCGCCCAGGAAGGCGCGGACTCGCTATCGGGGGCCTATCGCCGATATATCGGCGATGCATCGCCGATTCCAAGTCGATATTTCCCTCCCTGGGCCAGTCCCTACCCCCGCCACCCCCCATCGTTGCCCCTACGGTGGGGTGGTCACCGCCTCCCGGAAGCCGAGGGCCGAGGAGAAGGGGGGATGGAGGACTGAGGAGGTCAGCTTGGACGTCTGGGAGTCCGGGGAGGGGGGTTCGAGGGGCTCCAAGAGATCCGTTTCCTGGTGGAGTTGGCGACCCCTGGGTGGTGACCCTCCTTGGCGATGCCTGGGACGCCGCCAACCGCTGCCACTGACCCCGAGCTCCGAAAACCCCTCGAGTCGTGGAGGCACCACGACAGGAGGTCGTTAGTGATGATAGGTCTCTGGGGGCCCTCACCTGGGCTCTGGACTGTCAGAGACGGAGAACGGGGGATTGTGGAGCCCCTCGGGGTTCCAGGGCGCGCGCGCGAGGCTTTCACACTGAGTTCGCGCGTGCGTCTTTAAGTGGTGTGCGTACTCTGTGGCGTCCTCCTCTCCTTCCGCCTCCCCCTCCTCCTCCTCCTCCTCCTCCTCCTCCTCCTCATCCTCCTTTTTTTCTTTCTCACCTCCCCCCCCGAAAAAAATCATATGGGACATTTTAAGTTTATTCTTTGTTTCGGGGGGGGGGTCGGCGGCGAAAAAGAAAGAATGCGACGTGGCCTCATCTGCCCTCCCCCCTAGAAGGATTCTTATTGAACGCCCCGACAAGAAGGATTCATTGTGAAATCCTCGACAGAAGGATTCCTATCGAAACCCTCCACTGAATTATTCCTACTGAAATCTTCCACATGTGGATTCCTATTGAAATCACCCGCAGAAGGATTGATATTGTTCATATTGATACCCTCCTCAGAAGGATTCCATGCGAAACCCTCCACAGAAGGATTCCTATCGAAATCTACCACAAAGGATTTCCCCTATTTGCAGTGCATTGGCATTGGGTTGGGATCGCTTTTGCATTGGTGTGGCACTGCGTTGGCATTGCGCTGGCATTGCGCTGGCGAGTTCCAACACCTCCCTTCGCAGAATGATGCTTGTTGAACCCCCCACAAGAAGCATCCCATTTGAAGCATTCCACAAGCATGGTTCACATTGAACTCCCTCACGGAAAGATTCCATTCGAAGCTTTTCATAGAAGGATTCTTCTTGAACCCGACCACAAACGATTTCCCCCACTGGCATTGTCATTGGCATTGAATTGGGATCGCTTTGGCATTGGTTTGGCATTGCGCTGGCGAGTTCTAATGGCTCCCCCCACAGAAGGATTCCTAGGAGAACCTTGCACAAGAACGGATCCTTTTGAAAGGCCCCACATGAAGGATTCAAAGTGAAACCCCCGACAGAAAGAGTCCAATCGAAACCCTGCACGGGAGGATTCCTATCGAAATCTTCCGAAGAAGGATCCGTAAGCAAATCATCCACATAAGGATTCCTTGTGACATCTGTTGGAAGACAGGAATCCCGCCATCGGCAAAGAAAGAACCCCCCGGTGTGCTTGCGTTTCGCAAGCATTGCGCGGGCGAGTCTTAATGGAACCCTCCACAGAAGGACTCCGATCGAAACCTTGTACAAGAAGGACTCCTATTGAAACCCTCTACAAAAACGGTTCATATTGACACCCTCCGCAGAAGGATTCCATGCGAAACCCTCCACAGAAGGATTCCTATCGAAATCTACCACAAATCATTTCCCCCATTGGCAGTTCATTGGCATTGGGTTGGGATCGCTTTGGCATTGGTGTGGCATTGGTGTGGCACTGCGTTGGCATTGCGCTGGCATTGCGCTGGCGAGTTCCAAACACCTCCCTTGGCAGAATGATGCCTGTTGAACTCCCCACAAGAAGGATTCCATTTGAAGCATTCCACAAGCATGGTTCACATTGAACTCCCTCACGGAAAGATTCCATTCGAAGCCCTCCATATAAGGATTCTTCTTGAACCCGATTACAAACGATTTCCCCCACTGGCATTGCATTGGCATTGGCATTGAATTGGGATCGCTTTGGCATTGCGTTGGCATTGCGTTGGCATCGCGCTGGCGAGTTCTGACGGCTCCCCCCACAGAAGGATTCCTATGAGAACCTCGCACAAGAAGGGATCCTTTTGAAAGGCCCCACATGAAGGATTCAAAGTGAAACCCCCACAGAAAGAGTCCAATCGAAACCCTGCACGGGAGGATTCCTATCGAAATCTTCCGAAGAAGGATCCGTAAGCAAATCATCCACATAAGGATACCTGGTGAAATCTGCTGGAAGACAGGAATCCCGCCATCGGCATTGCATTGGCATTGGTTTGGCAACGGTTGGGCATCGCATTGGCATTGCGTTGGCATTGCGCTTGGCAGTGCGTTAGCAGTGCGTTGGCATTGCGTTGACATTGCGCTGGCGAGTCCTACTCAAACATTTCACAGAAGGATTCCTAACACCCCCACAAGAAGGATGCCTATTGAATCCCCCCACAAGAAGGATTCAAATTGAAAACCTCGGTTCCATGCGAAGCCCTCCAGATAAGGTTTCCGATTGAAATCCCCCGAAGAAGGGTTCTTAGAAGGATTGCTATTGAAATCTACCACAAACAATTCCCCCCATAGGCATTGCATTGGCATTGCATTGGCATTGGTTTGGCATCACTACTTCGGCATTGCGCTGGCGAGTTCGAATGGCTCCCACCACAGAAGGATTCCTTACCTTCCACCAGAAGGGATCCCCTTTAAAGCCCCCCACATAAAGGATTCATACTGAAACCCCCCACGGAAGGATTCCAATCGAAACCTTCCACAGGTAGGACTTCTTTTGGAATCGACCACACAGGAAAACCCCCATTGGCATTGCAGTGGCATTGAATTGGGATCGCCTTGGCATTGGTTTGGCATTGGGATGGCAAAGCTTTGGCATTGCGTTGGCATTGCGCTGGCGAGTCATAATGGCTCCCTCCGCGGACGGACTCCTACTGAAACCCTCCACAAGAACGATTCCGATTGAATCCTCCCACATGAAGGATTCCTAGTGAAACCCTCCACATGAGGATCCCTATCGAAACCCTACACATAAGCATTGCTATTGAAATCCTCAGAAAAAAAAGGACTCGTAATGACATCATCCACGAAGTATTCTCATTGAAATCCACCGAACGAAAGGATCCCCCCATTGGCATTGCATTGGCATTGGTGTTGGTTGGGAATGGATTTGTATCGCATCGGCATGCGTTGGCCTGGTGCAGGAGACAGACAAAGAGAGAGAGAGAGAGACAAAGAGAGAAAGAGAAAGAGAACACCAGAGAACGACATAACGAGAAAATATGTGTATGAGGGGATCACGGCGAAAAGAAAAATGACAAACAACAATCAAAGTTTAAGGGCGAAAGAGCGTTTCACTCGATAAAAACTGTATGACAACGACGAGGGGCTCCACAATCCCCCGGCCTCCAGAGACGACTCGGGTTAAGTCGGGCCTGTCCCTTTACAGGGGGAATCGCCAAAAATAGTCCAAAAATAGTCAGGGGACAATGTTGTTGACCATTTTTGATTGTTGTTTGTGCATTTTGTGTATATTTTCATTTTTTCTGCCAAAACACGACTGTAGGGGGACACGCCCAACCTACGTCTCGGGATGAAGAGCCCGTCCCCGAGAAGGGGTCCTGATCTCTGGGGAGCCAAACTGCGGCACAAGAGCACGAACGACGTCGGACGTTTGGGGCGGAGGGCTGCTATTTTGGTTCTCCCCTGGCGCCCGCCCACGACGAAATCGGCAGCTACCCTATCCACGTCCTGGGGGTGCCAACCCTGGGTGCTGCTGGGTCAGGCTTCATATTTGAGACGAAGGATAGCGAATGTGATCTGCACCAGATCTCATTCGATGATGTGGTCCTGCTGGATTGGATGCCGCTGGCTAGATTGCTTTGGACAAATGGTGTGATGAAAAGTCTTTCCGTTCTGAAGATGAGATCCACTTGTAGGTGTAGGTGCTACTCGACTTGTTGAAGAGCCGGCCTGTTGAACAGTCGAGCAGCACCTGTCGGCCTGTTCAACAGTCCGAGCAGCACAGTAGGTATTGCTCGGCCTGCTGAAGAGTCGGGCACATGTCGACCTTCAACGTTGGGTGTTGCTCGACCTGTTGAAGAGTCGGTGTGCGGCGACGCAGGCTGACCTTCCTTCAGCCCGGCGATGATTCTAACATTTGTTCTTTTGTGGTTGTGGCGGTGATGATTGCGACGGCCGCGGTGATGTTTGGTTCAAAATGGATGCTCGTCAGGGGGCATTGCAGGCAGGCCTACGCGCCCAGCGCTGCATGATGTCAAAAAATATAGAATTGCCGCGCAACTCCTTCGGATTTCGGCGGCTATTTGGGGGGCCATGGTGGCTCCAAAGGATGGTCCTCGGTGATTGTTTGACAGCCCGCTGGGGGCAAATCACCATCCGAAGCGGCTATGGGGCGCCGCCAGGGTACACCTGCGACGCAAAATGATAAAACGATACTATGCAGTTACAGCTGTCCCAGCTCGAGGGGGCGCTACGTGGACTCCCCGTGTAAGTAGAAGACGCTGATGCACGACCCCTTGACCGTCGGAGAACATAACGTAAGCATGAGCCGCGCGCCGTGAAAACTATCAGGGCCTCCTTCGACGCGTGGTTTCAGCAGAGTCTACGCCCACCGAGGACCGCGCAGTCGCCAAGTTGCGGGAGATAATGACTGCTACGACCTCATGGCAATGCAATGTCCAGACCAGCTCTTCGCCGGACAAGCCGAATATCAAGTTCACACCACATCCATGGGAACGCGGCTCTAATGTGGGTGGCAAGCAGTATCGAAACCCGCACGATGGATGATGCGCATCCGCCAGCCCTAGTGTGCCAGAACATGAGTCATTGAACATCACGATCTGCGCAGCACGTGGTCGGTTCCACGAGGTCTATACGCTTTTCGGAGGAGCGATGGGTGTTACTGGATGCGAATCCGTGCATGTACGCATGGCGCATCCCCAAACCAATAGACCACACTGTTGATGGCCATTGCCGTTTTTGGCCGATGGGTGTTATTGGGTGTTCACCCCTGCAGATACGCCTGGCGCATCCCCGAACCAATTGAACCCATTGTTGGTGGCCATTGCCGTTTCGGGCCTGATCCGTCGAGGGCTCAGCACGCGGCTCGAGCTACTGCACGCAGCAGGCGCTTGCACCCCCGGTAGTGCGTCGTCGATCGGGCGCCGAGGAAGGAGGAGGAGGAGGAGGAGGAGGCGGAGTTGATAACGTGGGTGTGGGCGCTTGGTATACTAAGAGGTTCCAGTCGTGGATAGATTCCATCGAATGGTACCGTTACCCTCCGATACGAGGAGACAGACGGGCAACGCTCGATGGCACCGCGGCGCGTTATGAGCATCGCTCCGACACGCATGTTGTTGGGTGTCCGCACTGTGCGCGCTTCAGGCATGGCATGATGCATAGACATTCCTTTCCTGATGGGTGTTGGAAGTCTGCTCCAAGAGTACCATAACATTTCGGGTTCGATTGCGCACGCCATGTCTGATTCGGTGTTGAAGGGCTCCAGTATGGGGCGGTCGGCTTTGACGGGTTCCCGTATATTGTTGACGCCGTGCCGTATAGGAGTTGGTATTGTGAGAGTGGGGTTGAAGATGTGTTGCATGGGCCTCTTCTTTCGAGGGTGGCGGCGAAGACGGCAACGATAATACCATCCCCATGTGCGTCTATTCATATTTCTTCAAGGCGTTGCATTTTATCACCTCCTTCCCTGTCCCCCACTACGAAGCAATATCGACGACAGCCCCTCTGTTAGGCCGTCAAAGAATGTGTTTCAACATGAGCGAAAGCTTGAGGTGTGTATTGTGATCGCGCTGGCCTTAGCGAGCTGCTCATCCTTCAGACATAGTTCGCTCTACGATCATAGGTTGCCTGTGTCGGCGATGTGTTGAATTGCAAAAGCAGTTCTCGAAAGCACCAGCTTGAATTCAACCGACAAGTCTGTCAAGGAATCGATGTATGGTATGCCGTAGCCTGGAGTTGCAATCATCGAAGTTTCTCCCGCTTGCATTCGGCGCAAATCTGCGCTTTCCATCGGCATTTTAGGTTGCACCGTACAGTTTCTGAATCAGATGGTCACAATGCCAGGCGCCAGAACAGGGAGCTCCGCAGTCTAAAAGACGTTTTAAGCATCCCAGGTCTAGACGTGTGCCGCCAGACGTGCATTTAGGTGCGCGGGCTACGTAGCTCGGCCGGTGTTACAGTGACATTGTCGGCGCGTTGCTCGTCAAAACGTCCGCAAAGTTTCGGACTGGCAGGGCTTTTCATTATTCAGCCCGTTCGCTAATTTTTGCTTGACACCGTGAACCGTGACTGGATGGAAGTGGCCAGACGTAGGCGCGATTGAAAGTCGCACGAGGGCGCCTGGTTTCAACATATCTCGGGCAAGTCGATGGAACCAACATGTTTGAGACTGTTTTTTCCTTGACCTGTAGACGTGCCACGGCTGATTCGACACGTTCAGGGCAGATAAAAACAATCCTCCTCCTTCCTCCTCGGTGATGCTGTCACGACTTTATTCTCTTGCACAGCTGTGCTCCAGAGCTCGGACATGTTTATTTTCGTTCGTTTGTGGTCGTCCCCCTCCCCGCCGCCCCCCCCAAGTGTTTCCGCAGGGCAGCTGGGCAGCTCCCCTGGACCGCGGAACCCTTTCTTCTCGTTCGTTCGTGGTCGCCCCCCTCCCCCCTCCCCCCCCAGGGCTCCCTGGGCAGCGTTCCTCAGGGCCCCCCGCCCCTGGAGTAGCCTCCCCCCCCCCCAGGGCTCCCCAGGGCAGCTCTCCAGGGTTTCCCAGGGCAGCTCCCCTGGACCGCGGAACTCTTTATTTTCGTTCGTTCGTGGTCGTCCCCCTCCCACCTCCCCTCCCCAGGGTTCCCCAGGCCCCCCCCCGGGCAGCGCAGGGCAGCTCCCCCGGGTTCCCCAGGGCAGCTCCCCAGGGCTGCCCCCCAGAGCTTCCCAGGGCCCCCCGCCCCTGGAGCAGCTCCCCCCCCCAAGAGCTCCCCAGGGTAGCTCTCCAGAGTTTCCCAGGGCAGCTTTCCTGGACCGCGGAACCCTTTATTTCCGATCGTTCGTGGTCGTCCCCCTCCCCCCTCCCCCCCAGCGCTCCCCAGGGCAGCGCTCCCCAGGGCCCCCGCCCTAGAGCAGCATCCCCCCCCCCTCCCAGGGTTCCCCAGGGCAGCTCTCCAGGGTTTCCCAGGGCAGCTCCCCTGGACCGCGGAACTCTTTATTTTCGTTCGTTCGTGGTCGCCCCCCTCCCCCCTCCCCTCCCCAGGGCTCCCCAGGCCCCCCTCCGCCCCCATCCCGGGCAGCGCAGGGCAGCTCCCCCGGGTTTCCCAGGAGCTCCCCAAGGCAGCTCTCCAGGGTTTCCCAGGGCAGCTTTCCTGGACCGCGGAACCCTTTATTCCGCGTCGCGACGCACACCACCTCCCCCACCTCCCTCCCCGCGCCCCCAGCGCCCCAGTGGGGGCTCCGCCCCGTGCCCCCCCCGCCCCGACAGTTTCATTCCGCGTCGCGACGCACGTCACCTCCCCCCCCGTCCCCAGCGCCCCAGTTGGACCCCCGCCCCGTGGCCCTCTGCTCCAAGCCCCGCCCAATGCCCCCATCCGCCCCGACCATTTGATTCCGCGTCGCGACGCGCACCACCTCCCCCCCTCCTCTCCGCGCCCCCAGCGCCCCAGTGGGACCTCCGCCCCGTGCCCCCTCCGCTCCGAGCACTTTATTCCGCGTCGCGACGCACGCCACCTCCCCACCCTCTCCCCCCTGGGATTTGGGCCCCGTTGCTGGGCCCCGAGGGGCGATGTCTTGCCCCCTCTTCCCTCCTCCTCCTCCTCCCTCCTTCTCCTCCTCCCCCTTCCTTTTTGTGCAATAGCCATGGCACACGTGCCACTTGTTTACAGGCGCTCCCTTCAGGACCAATTGGCCCACGGGCTGGTCAGGACAGCCCAATCCCTGAAATATCGAGAGGAAGTCAACAATGATAACCTGACAGATTGCATGCCAGGCTTCCCAGAGGAGTACAAGCACGTGCTGTCAATCAAGGACGGTCGAAAGGAAAGAAGTCCAAAGCAGCTCTGGAAGAAGGCCATGGTCGGAATCAAGGCAGGCCAGGTCGGAATCAGAGACTCTGGGACAGACTTCGCTTCGAAATGGTTGTGGCTACAGATGATGCGCCAGGAGAACTTGTCGGCCGAGTTGTGGGCACTCCAGTGGCTGACCTACCTCGTGTACCACCACGGGCCCGTCCGCGACTCCCTTGCGCTGGATATCATCAAGGTTACCGTGGTCGATGCCCACGAGCTCCCGGTGTTCTACTCCTCCTGCATGGCGGGCAAGGCTCGGGAGCCCCCAATCGGTGTGATGACCACACCGTGTGCTGAGTCAGTGGGGATCCGGGGTCACCGCATGGTTTTGGGACTGAGGTCGTTCGCCAGGGGTGTCTCGGGCGACCAGGGCCTCCAGAGTCCCAAGGCTGTGCGGCGACAGACCTTGCGGTGAGGTCTCTCGGGATTCCGAGGTCACCGCGCTGTGTGCCACCACACGGGCTGCTGGGCGGCGCGTTTTGGGGGGAAGCGAGGAGGGGCAGCGGGGGGGCTTCCCAGAAGTCCTCCAGCCTGAGAGGAGGAGGGGGAGGAGGAGGAGGAGGAGGAGGAGGAGGAGGAGGAGGAGGAGGAGGAGGAGGGGAGGAGGAGGAGGAGGAGGAGGAGGAGGAGGAGAGCTGGTCAGGAGGCCGGAGGCCCTCCGAGCCTTCTGGAAGGCGCGAGGGGGCTCCCTCGCCCCCCAGGCGCGCCGCCGAGTCTCGGGACCCCCGCGAGGCGATCCGGTACCAAGTCGCACGGGTCCTGCATACCCATTGGATTTCGGAGCCCAAGATACGGGGGTCAATGCAGACGGGGGAGCGGGGGCGGGGAAGTGTCCACTCATGGTGTCCTTCTGCCGCACCTCTACCCTCTCCCCGTTTTCCCCTCTGTTGGGCCTCTTTCGGAGGCCCTCGTCGCCACCGCTGGACTCGCCCCGAAATCCTGGGCAGAACGCACCCTGGGAGAGTCGGAGCCTAAGAGACGGGGGGTCAGTGCAAACGGGGGTCAGCCAGGGCAGCAGATCCTGTAGGATCCTGCGAAGACCCCCTCTGGCTGACCCGGGTCAGCGAGGCGCTCGTGGCCGCGAGGCGACCGCGCTTATTGGCCGACCCGGGTCTGCGAAGACTTGCGTTGCAGTTGTTGTTCCTGCACTGCAGTTTTTTGGTTTCCTGCTGACCCGGGTCTGGATTGACCCGGGTCAGAAGATCTCCGAGGATTCCCAGATTCCGCTCTGCTCTGAGCGCCTTCTTGCCCTAACGATCGAGCGGCTTCACCTTTTCCGTCTTCCTTAGGGGGCAGACGGAAACCAATATACTTTCAGCGCCTTCCTATTTGATATTTCTCTTTACTCCTTCCGACCGATGGGTACCCACGTAAGTCCGCGTTCAGAATGCACTGGCGTCGGCTAGCGTCTGGTAGCAGCGCCGACTTGGCGCCGATGAGCGCCGACTAGCCTCGATGTAGCGCCGATGCAGCGTCGATGCAGCGTCGATTAGCCTCTACCCACAAGAGCCAACACGATGGGGTGGGAGGCTCCCGGGAGTCGCCGCCGAGAGGCGATGGGGCGGGCCATGATGATCCTGGACCTGGCCCACTCGGACACGAAGCCCATCCGGCACAAGAGGCTGCCCTTCCGCGGCTTCTGGCCCTACACCTCGCAGGAGGCCCGCTTCGAGCGGCAGGAGGGCCGGGCCAGCCTGGAGAGGAAGGAGCGGCGGGGCCGTGCTGGGCGGAGGAATCGAGCAGTGGCTACGCGGCCGGGCCTGTGCGCACGACATGCTAGCAGAACAGTTCTGGCTGGGACCGTCCTGTTTGACACATCGGCTGTATGTTCTGAGAGCAGTGTTTGTATAACATTCTTGAGATCTAAGAACATGTCGTGGTAGGCCTGTAGGAATGCTGTGGCGGTCGGTCCCTCCTCAAGGGAAGTCGCCGCACCCCCAAACGCGGTCGCGTCGCAAATCAGCGACGAAATCCGAACCCTACCCTCGCCGATCAACGGTTCAGGCAACTCGAGGGGCGGCGGGGGTAGGATTCGGAATTCGCCGAGCACGTTGCGAAATCCGAACCCTACCCCCACCTCCGATCGATTCAGGACGATCAATGGTTGATGAGGGTACGTGCTCGGATGTTGCCTCCTGGTGAGCAAAAAACACGACGGGAGGCTTTTGGCAATTTTCGGCCTCTGGGGGGGCCCTCGCTGGGCGTCGGGACCGTCCATAGGCCATAGGGGAACAAAAAGTGACATAAACATAATTATCCCAGTGCGACCCTACCTAGGAGTTGGAGCCCCTAGGAAAGCAGCATTAGTAGCAACAGTAAAGCTAAGCTAAAGCTAAGCTAAAGCTAAGCTAAAACTAAGCTAAAGCTAAGCTAAAGCTAAGTTAAGGCTAAGCTAAGGCTAAGCTAACACTAAGCTAAAGCTAAGCTAAAGCTAAGCTGAAGCTAAGCTAAAGCTAAGCTGAAGCTAAGCTAAAGCTAAAGCTAAAGCTAAAGCTAAATATAAGCTAAAGCTAAAGCTAAAGTTAAGCTAAAGCTAAGCTAAAGCTAAGCTAAATCTAAGCCAAAGCTAAGCTGAAGCTAAGCGAAAGCTAAGCTAAAGCTAAGCTAAGGCTAAGCTAAAGCTAAGCTAAAGCTAAACTGAAGCTAAACTGAAGCTAAGCTAAAACTAAGCTAAAACTAAGCTAAAGCTAAGCTAAAGCTAAGCTGAAGCTAAGCTAAAGTTAAGCTGAAGCTAAGCTAAAGCTAAGAGAAAGCTAAGCTAAAGCTAAGCTAAGGCTAAGCTTACACTAAGCTGAAGCTAAGCTAAAGCTAAGCTAAAGCTAAGCTAAAGCTAAGCTAACACTAAGCTGAAGCTAAGCTAAAGCTAAGCTAAAGCTAAAGCTAAAGCTAAGCCAAAGCTAAAGCTAAGGCTAAAGCTCCCAGGGGGCTGGGGGAACCGCGGGGCGGGGACTGGGGGAATCGCCCGGGGCGGTTAGCATTGCCCGGCCCTTGAAGCAAAGAGAGTAAGAACCCTTCTAGGCAGAGCCTAGGTAGGGAAAAACTGAAAGGTCCGCGCGGATTTCTCGGATCGGCGCTGGGGCCCCCCGGCGGCGCCTCCGGCGCCGCCCCTGGCGCGCTCCGCGCGCCAGGGAGAGGGCTGGGACTTCTGGGGGACCGCGCACAGAAAGAAGCAGGACGTCGCAGGTCTGGGCCCGCGCCTGCCCGCCGGGGGGGGCGCGGGCCCAAGGGGGGCCCGCAGCGCCAGCGAGAGGGGTCGGAGGGAGGGCCATGCCTGTCGAGTCGTACGGCGGCCCGCCTGGGCGTTGCTCTCGGGCTGGACAAAAAGGGGGGGATTGGGAAAAGGGGGGTTACGGAACTTGCTGCACGCAGCTGGTTTCGGCCTCACCGAGGGGCCCATCCCTCGACACATAGCCGCCTCTGGCGCCAGGAGGCGCCGGGAAAATCAGCTACGAGCTGATTCTCAAACCCCCCCTTTGCTATCCCCCCCTTCCGCCCGGCCCGATGCTCCCGAGGAGCAAGGGGTCGTGATCATGGGACGTTCCAGTGTTTCCAAGGCTTCCAGGATGCCCCACGGTTGCTCACGTTTCGCGCCGGCTGCGCCGCGAGGTGCTCTGGAAATCCCGGAACGCCTCCCGAGCTGACATCACTCTTGCCCTTTGTGGGCCCCGGAAACGGCAGGGCCGTTTTTTCACCGTTTCCAAAAACATGTCCCTTGAAAATGGAACGGCAAAAAAACGGCGACAGGAAACGGCAAAAAGCGGCTCCGGGATTGGAACCGGAGCCGGAACCGGTCAAGAAACGGCGACGGAACCGGTAAAACCACGGCGTCGGAACCGGTAAAAACACGGCAAACCGGAACCGGTAAAAAAACGGCCTTGTCGTTTCCAGGGCCCACTATAAGCTCTCGCCCCCTTCTGATCCATTCTTTTTGGGGCCTCCAGTGGGCTTCGCGTCGCCACGGCCGGATCCGCCTCGCGAGCTGGGCTGGGGTGGGCACGGGCGGGGGCCCCGGGGGCCGATGCGGAGTCCCGTATCTCCCCCACCTCGGGGGCAACGATAGGGGGGGATAGGCATAGGGGAGGGCACATCGACCCCCAATCGCCCCTCGATCGCCGATGATTCGGGTCCCGATAGCCCCAACCTGTCCAGGAAGGTGCGGATTCACCATCGGAGGCACATCGACGATCTATCGGCGATGTTTCGCCGATTCTTGGTCGACGTTTCCCCCTCACAACCCCTTCTTCTCAGCACGATCACTGTCTCTCACACAGCTGGCCCTTGGCCCCCGATCGCCCAGCAAATTTGCCGATCGGGGCCCGGGGTGTCCCACCCCACGCAGGAGCGTGCGGTGCGCCATTGGGGGCTCTCAGAGCCGACCCTCGCTGCGGTGTGTCGCCTGTGCCAGGGCATGTTGCCTCCACCCCGGGCCAGGCTCCCCCGGTCGACCCCCTCGTCTCTGTTTCTGTCCCTGGTCCCTGTCTTTCTCACGTCCTTCCCCGAGGGAGGGCAGTCTGCGGGCTGGAGGCTGGAGCTGTCCCTGCCTGCCTCTGCCTATGTTTGCGCGTCCTGCCCTGGTCTTTCTCGTACCCCACTCGCCCATCCGCAGGAGGGCGAGCCGTTGGGGGATACACTGCAAATGCCTCTGCCCCTATCTCTGCCTGCGTCCCTGCCCCGGCCTCTCTCATGCCCTCCCTGCCCCGGCCTCTCCCTGCCCCGGCCTCTCTCGGTCGCACCAAGAAAACGGCAAACGTTTGCAGGTCCGCGCGGATGCCTTGGATCTGCGCTGGACCTCTTCTGGCGGCGCCTCCAGAGCGCGCTAGGGAGCGGGGTTGAGCGCCGATCCAACAGGTCCGCGCCGACCTTCGAGGGTACACATGTTCGTGTAGGTCTCTTCGCCCACGAAGGAGGGGAAGCTGCTTGGCGGAAACCTGACGTCGAACCTCGTGGACATACACTACCACGCACAGCAGGCAGAGAGCAACATCATCAAACTGCTCGGGTGCCTGCAGAGGGGGGTCAGGGCGACCGACAGCTCCTCGTCGTCCGGCGAGGAGGCGAGGGCCGACTGTGCCCAAGAGGAGTCGCCGAAGAGGCACCGGTGGAGCCTCCAATCGGCCGTGCCGAGTCCGAGAAAAGGATCCGAAGAAGAAACATTGAATGCAAGACGTACGGTTAAGTCGGGCCTGTCCCCCTACAGGGGGATTTTCGACGAAAATTTAAAAAAGTACCATCAAAACAGTCAAAAAATAATCCAAACATAGTCTGGGGACTATTAAAAAAAAACCCTTTTGAGGCATTGTTGGGGTATTTGCTTTTGTTTTCGTCGAAAATCCCCCTGTAGGGGGACACGCCCGACATAAACGTACGGTCAGGAACGTCCGCTTAGCGTGCCGCGCCGCCCGCCCTGGCCCACCACCACGCCGTGGCACGACGCGCCAGCCACTCCCCGGCCCCCGAGCGTCAGAGGCCCGAGCCCTTCCCGACAGCCCGCCACGGCGGAGCGATGCGCCGTGTCGTCGTCTTCTGCCTCATTGCTCTGTCGATCGGCGCGGGCCCCTGGCGCCCCCCCCCCTCCCCCCCTCCCCGCTTGGCATCGCTCGGACGTGTGCATTTTTCCTTCGGCGAGGACCATCGAGGAGCATCCTTGATCATTTGGCGAAAAAACCACGCACGAAACCGAACAAAAACACAGGGAATGGACGTCCGAGCGATGCCCCCCCCGCGTGGAGCAGATCTTGGCTCTGTTCTGGCGCCTGTTTTTCGAGCAGGTGGGGTCTCTCCCACAGGACGCACTGTCACCAACAGTCGCACTGAGCAGAGGTCCGGAGCCAGACCCCCCCCACTCCCCCCCCTTCCGCCCGATGCCGAAGCGCCGAATCACAACACGTTCACTGTCCGCTTGCAGGGCATGGCGTGTGGCCGGGGCCTCCGCCGCCACACGCCAAGGGAGCGTTCCCGATCGCTCTGTGGGCAAGTGCGGACCTTCGGAGCCCCGCGCGGCTGTCCCGTGTCTTGGCATCGCTCGGACGTGTGCATTTTTCCTTCGGCGAGGACCATCGAGGAGCATCCTTGATCATGTGGCGAAAAAACCACGAACAAAACCGACAAAAAACACAGGGAATGGACGTCCGAGCGATGGCCAGGTGTCGCCGCTGGGCCTCCCTGGCGGCGTCTCACGGCGCCACCCCACGGCGCGCAGCGCCGGCCCCAGGAAGACGCGCGTCTGCCTCCGAAGGTGTGTGCTTGTGTTAAGTCGGGCCTGTCCCTCTACAGGTAGTAAAAAATCAGTCTGGGGATTATTGTTTGACAATGCTTGAGCATTTGTAGGGTATGTTTGGTGTATGTTTCATTTTACGTCCAAAATCGGCCTGTGGGGGGACAGGCCCGACCTAATGCTTGTGCCTTCCTTGCTTCTTGAGGAGGCGGCAGGCCGTCCGAGGAGGCCCCGGGTGGCCGCAGCTCCTCTGGCCAGCAGAGGACCCACGTGAAGGTCGACCACTTCCTGGTCATCGACAACGAGGGCGAGGAGCCCGAGGTGCTCCTCGACTACGCGAGCGAGGAGGGGGCCGTCGACGACGAGAAGATCAGGCGGGAGCTGCAGGGGGTCGTGGAGGAGGCTCGGACCCGCGGACGACCTGTCTGCACCGTGCCGCGTCGGCGTCTCCCGAGGCGTCGTCGATCCCTCGACCCAGGAATGGTGCGGTGCACGGTTTGCTCGAACCTCAGGGCTGAGAAACTATGCACCTCACCCCGTTGGGGCACGGTCCGGAAGGAGTCTAGGCATGGCACGGTGCACACGGCCGCCGTTCTCGGCTCAGAGGAGAGAAAAGCGGCACAAACATGACTTCTTCACGCTCCACGCGGACTTTGGGGGTCGGCGCTGGTCCTTCTGGCGGCGCTTCTGGCGCCCCCCCCTGCCCCTGGCGCCCTGCGCGCGCCAGGGAGGGGGGGGGGCGGCGCAGTTCCCAGAAATCCGCGCGGGCAGTCGGCAGTTTGTGTTTACGCAGTTCTTTCTTCTTCCAAAGGCGGTGACGAGCAGCCAGCTCTTCGACAAGGAGTGGGACGCGTTCGACCCGTACGTCTTTCGGGTGGTGCACTTTTTCCTGAAGACGTGCTTCCCTCAGGACCCTCGGAGCAGCGAGCGGGGTCGGAGGAGTGCAAGTCGAGTCGACGGCGACACTCCCTGGCACTTTTCGTGTTCTCTGGGCCTCTTCTGTCGGGGGTGGACAGACCTCCTATCCTGACACGTCGATTAAGGACTTGGCCGTTTTCGGTTCGCGAGATGGCGTCGCGGCCGTCATTTCTGCGGGTCTGGGTCCGTCGGTTTCGGTCCCAGGCCGTTTTCACTAGGGGGAGGTCTACTGAAGGGAGGTTTGTCCACCGCCGATTCTGCAGGCTTCTCGTTGAGAAGGCCGGATCCGCCTCGAAGCGCGGGTCGGGCTGGACCCCGCGAGGGGCCTGGCGGAGTCGGGCCGGGCGGGGTGGCCGCCGTTGTCTCACGTGGTCCTTCGAGGATAGGCTCATGTCGGGCCTTTCCCTTTATAGGGGGATTTTCGACGAAAAATAAGAAATACCCCAAAATACCCCTAAAAGGTCAAAAAATACGGAAAAAATAGTCCCCGGACAATTTTTTGTTAATTTTTGATGATTTGGGGGGTATTTTTTATTTTTCGTCGAAAATCCCCCTGCAGGGGGACACGCCCGACTTAAGGATAGGCTCGGGGGGGGAGCAACTTCCCAATCGCCCGTTCACCGCCGCTCGTGGCTTGGGTGCCCCAGCTTGCCGGGCAACCACCAGGAGGGAAAAAACACAGACACAATGAATCGTCGATTCCCCCGAAAAATAAGGGAAAACATGGGAAGTGGGGCGGGAGACAAAAACCCAGAAAATGTTGGAAAATATGGTGAATATCTTTATTTGTGTGTGTGTGTGTGTGTTTATTTTTGTGTGTGTGTGTGTGTGTGTGTGTGTGTGTGTGTGTGTGTGTGTGTGTGTGTGTGTGTGTGTGTGTGTGTGTGTGTGTGTGTGTGTGTGTGTGTGTGTGTGTGTGTGTGTGTGTGTGTGTGTGTGTGTGTGTGTGTGTGTGTGTGTGTGTGTGTGTGTGTGTGTGTGTGTGTGTGTGTGTGTGTGTGTGTGTGTGTGTGTGTGTGTGTGTGTGTGTGTGTGTGTGTGTGTGTGTGTGTGTGTGTGTGTGCGTGCGTGCGTGCGTGTGTGTGTGTGTGTGTCCTGGGGCCCCTTCAAACTTCCCAATCGCCCGTTCACCGCCGCTCGTGGCTTGGGTGCCCCAGCCTGCCGGGCAATCCCCGGTCTCGGCCTCGGGGGCCCAGGGCCGATCTATACGGGCGACAGATCGCCGAGTTCCAGGTCGACGTTCCCCCCTCCTCCCTCCTCCTCCTCCTCCTCCTTCTTCTCCTCCTTCCCCTCCTCCTCCTCCTCCTCCTCCTTCCCCTCCTCCTCCTCCTCCTCCACCACCACCTCAACCTCCACCTCCACCTCCACCTCCTCCACCTCCCTCCTCCTCCTCCTTCCTGAGCCATGCCGCCCCGTGGCGGGCTCAGATGGTGTCATTAGGCCATGTCTTTCGGGGACGGTCTTCAAGCGTTTGCACTGTGTGGCGATCTCTCTCCCTCGAGCTGGTTTTCTTCTTCCACAGGTGTTTGTGCATGTGCCTTCTTTCGTGACGGTCTCAGATACGCCTCACTGTAGCGTCGTTGCAAGAGGATTCCTCTTGCGCCGGCCTTGCACACGGTTTCCTTTGTGGCGGCCTTGCAAAAGGATTATGTGTGCGAAGTCCTTACAAACGAATTATTTTTTTCTGCTGCCTTACACCGGGTTTCTTGTTGCGACGTCCTTGCGCAATTGTTGCAACTTGGCAGAAGGACTCTTGTTTTATGGCGGCCTTACAAAAGGATTGTGGCGTTTCCTGGTAGTAACCCTGTGGCCAAAGGACAAACAACCAACTCGGGAAAAGTATATCATACAATAGTTGCCAGTTTTTTGAGCCAGAACATAGTACGCAGACGCACTTCATGTTCAACTCTTGGGGGCCCACATCATACATACAAAAGCGCAGTGTTAGACAATCCAGCGAGCCCCACATTGCACGAACGCGCAGCATTCCTGAGCTCTGAAATTCGAGAACCATGAAATCAGGTAGTGTGTTGGAGACAGTGTGTGAACATGTTGTGTGTTCTATATAGTTCGGGTTTCAGAAGCTGGACCATAATGTGTTGTGTCAACGTCCTAAATGGGGATCTCGTTTTCTCTGGATACGCCGCGCAGTCCTCACCTCATTCCCCCGCGCAAGAAGAACCGTAATCGCCATCCTCGACCTGGTCATCGTCACCAGCAGCATCATCATCACTGTGCCATCATCATCATCATCACCGTGCCATCATCGTCATCATCATCACCACCATGATCATCAGCAGCATCATCATCGTCACCACCATCGTCATCACCATCATTCTCACCACCAAGACCTTCGTCATCATCAACACCACCGGTATCTCATCATAATCGCCGTTATCCTTAATTCATCGCGAAGAAGTCTCAAGCGGGAGCCTCTCCCTATCGGGTCCGCACCCCATGTTGGTAATCCGAGGCGGGTCATCCAAAACTTGTAACCGCCGTAAATTGGGGGCTCCTCAGGTTTGGGATCTCGAGGAAGTCTCGATTGGGAGCCTCGTCGATGAGTGAATCGCGAGGACGTCTCGAGCGGGAGCCCCTCCATCAGGGATCCCCGCCTCATGTTGGTAATCCGAGGCTCTCATCCCCCACCTGGAACTGTCGTCACCTTTTGGGCCCCTCCTGGCTTGAATTTGGAGCCGGGAGCCTCGTCTGTGAGTAAATCGCGTGGAATTTCCGAGCGGGAGCCTCTCTCTCCCAGGACCGTCCTCGGCGTCCTGGTCCTCTTCTGGACCCCTCGGGGGCGGCTGGATCCGCGGCAGGACGAGGTGGACAATAGGAGGATCGATCGATCGAGCCCTCGGGCCAGTTCTGTGCTGCACCGCCTCGACGCGAGCCCCGTAGCCTTCAGGCATCTAGTCGGAAACTGGAGCGTACACATTACCAGTGGCGGGCTGTTTCTTGAATCCCAGAACTCTTCGAGGGTCGGGGACGATGCTGGGGTGGTGTGGTGTATACATTTTGTCCCCAATGTCCCGGGAAAACAACCAAAAACGTACACCAGGATCCCGTATACACCAGAACCAGCATTCCTGTGCGAATCTCAGCGCAGGGTCGGGAAACGCGTCGGTGTATAGATTTCGTTTCCCTATCTAGTGGTGCGGCCTCGCCGTGGTCCCTGGCCTTGCCTGCACCGTGTGTTCCCCCGCGCGGGAGGGCCAGGAGGGAGGAGCAAAAGGACCAGTGCAAGCCCAAGACTCATCAGGGATGTTGAGCTGCACCCTCCCTCCGAGCTCCACCCTCCTCCTCCTCCTCCTCCTCCGTAGCCATTTTGGCTCAAGGCTATGAACCGTCCCGACGACCGCGAGTCCCACGGGGCGGCTTCTGAGCGCGAGGGGGTTCGCGCTTTGAGGCCAAAGACTTTCCAAGTGATTGAGTGTGCAGCGGCGCGCGAGTGGGCGGCATGGCGCCTCCTCCTCGTGGCGGCGGCGGCAACCCGCGCGGCGGCGGCGGCGGCGCTCCCGGCGGCTCCTAGGCGGGCTCTGGCTGGCGCTGCCCCTCGTGCGGCTACAAGAACCTCGGGTGGAGGACGCAGTGTCGGCAGCCCGACTGCTGCGCGTACCGCCCGACCTCCAGTGGTGCTCCTCGTCCTCGTGACGCTGGTGATGGCGGCTGGCCTCGTCTCGGTCGCTGGGCCGAGGGACCGCCCAGGGCTCCGTGGCGCAACGCCGAGCAGGCGGCTGGAGGCGGCAGGGGACAGCAGCCTCCCAAGCCGAAGCGGCTCACCGACGAGAAACGCGCCTACTTCGTGGCCTGCCCCGTCGACCAGCTCGACGCCTGCAAAGAGCTCATCGCGGAGGCGGACTGGCAGGCCATTCGCCAGCAGCGCTTCCTCCTCCAGCAGCAGCTGGGCTCGCTGTCGGCGGTCAAGCCTGTCAGGAGCGCGCAGGCGGCGGCCGACGAGGCCTCCAAGCGCCTCCTGCGGGCCCGCGGCGAGCTGGAGCGCAAGAAGCAGGCGGCCCAGGCAGCGCTGCAGGCGGCCTTCGACCAGGAGAAGCAGGTCGCGAAGCTGCAGGTGGAGATGGACGAGCTCGTCGAGAAGGCCAGGCGCGTCGTGGCTGAGCCGCCTGCTGCTGCGGCGCCGCGCGCCGAGGACCGCTACGTCGCCGACGTCACCAAGTACAGGGACTTGGTGGGCACCGTCTCGGGCGCCCTCGGCGGCGTCGAGCTTGGCGAGCTGGCTGGCCCGCTCAACTCGCTCCTCGCCGCGCTCCAGCAGGACGTGGCCGCCTGCGAGGCTTCGGGCGCCCCGCCAGCCGCCGCTGCGCCTCCCCCTGCCGTCGCTGCGGCAGGCGCTCAGCCTGGGGCAGCGGCTCCTGCAGCGGATCTGGGAGGCGAGCACAAAGCTGCTGGCGACGACGACGCGGGCATGGAGAGCCTCAACCTGTCCCCTGAGGCCTTCGCGGCGCAGGTCGAGGCCTTCTGCGACGGTGACGCCGAGAAGAGGAAGTGGCTCGAGGACTTCCGCGACCGCTGCTACGCGGACAAGAAGCAGAAGCTGGGGTAGTAGCAGGTGGCGGCTGGCGACGCTCAACATGAACGCCTTCAGCAACCTGGGCAGGTGCCTCACGGAGCAAATCAGCGGGCGCAACGTTCTGCTCTTTCAGGAGACCCGCCTCAGCGGGGCGCGCACGACGGATGCTGAAGGGGAGCTTCGTCGTCGGGGATGGCGCGCCGCGGGTGCTGAGGCCCAGGCGTATCAGGCGGGGGGCCTGGCGTCAGGGGGGCTCCTGACGTGCTCGCGCCTTGAGCACGGGCTGGCGCCCATGATGGGCTACGAGACCCCTGTCGTTCGTCCTGGGCGAGTGCAGCTGCTTCACCGCGCTGGGCTGACTCCTGGGGGAGTCGTTGTGGGGAACGTGTACTTGGAGAGCGGCGTGGGGGTGAACGCCTTCAACTACGAGGCGCTGCGCGACTTGGCGTGCAGGCTGAAGCAGCGCGGCAGGCCGTGCGTGGTCGGCGGTGACTTCAACTGCACCAAGGCCGAGCTGGAGAAGAGCGGAGTGCTGCGCTTCTTCGACGGCACCTGCGTCGACACGCTCGAGCCGACCTGCGTGCAGACGATGCGCCCCATCGACGTGTTCATCGTGTCGAGCGGCCTGCGGCTGCTCAACGTGGAGGTGATCAGCGGATCGCCTGTGTGGCCGCGTCGGCCTGTGGTGCTGGAGCTCGAGGCGACGCGCCAGAGCCCCTACATCCGCGCGATGGATGTGCCCAGGAGCTTCCCGCAGGAGCGGCCTGCTGGCTGTGCGCGCTGGGACTGCCACGTGCCGTGGGCCAGCGTCGGCGAGGAGGTACGGCGGCCCCTGCGCTCTGCGCCTCGGCAGGGTGCGTCGACGGCTCCTCAGGGTGGGCTTGCGGATGCTGCCCTTAATGACGCTGCTCCCCCGAGCGGCGCGCCCCGAGGAGCTACGGGGCCCACGCCCGCTGCCTGTGATGCGAGCGCACATGGACCTGTACGCGGCGGTGGCTCTGAACTCCGTGGGCCCCTGCAAGGACGACCTGCAGGCGGAGAACGCGCCACTCTGGCTGGGGAGCGTGAGCGAGATTCAGGGGACGCGGCCGCTGAGGGCCATGTGTCGCGGGCGGCCTGCGCTGACGTGGAGCTGACGCAGCTCCGCGGCCAGATCAACGTTGCCTGGCAGCGGTTCCTGGAGCAGGCCGAGACCGACTGGATCGATATATACCAGGTGGGCGAGGACGCCCAGAAGTATCGTGGGCGAGGTCAGCCAGCGCAGCCGCGCTGGGTCCGCAAGCTGCCTGTCGCTGGCGCGTGCTGGCCCAACGTCTCGGTCGAGGCCACCTGGCTCTACAGGGTGTCGTGCGAGCTGCAGCTTGTCGCCGCCGTCGCGCAGCCCGTCAGCCGCGCCCGTGCGCTTCGAGGTCTGCACAGGCTGATGGTGACCGCTACCGCGCCCAAGGCCGTGAAGGGCGTCGCGGAGGCTGAGCCTCGCGACCTGCCTGTCGCGAGCTCTTGGTGGCAGCTCCTCAACAGCTTGGGCGCTCACTGCCTGGATCCCTCCACCACGGCCCTGCAGCTGAGCGGGCGCACCCACGCCGCCGCCGCGAAGCTGGCCGAGCGCGACATGTCGGAGCGCAAGGTCAAGTTCCAGAAGTGGGTCGCCAAGCAAGCTGGGGGCGGCGGCGGCGGGCCCCACGCGGCGGCCAGGCTGCCGATCGGCTTCGCGGAGAGCCCCATGCTGCACACCAGCACCGCGGAGACGCGCGCGCCCTTCTGCGAGCCCGCCGACCTCGCCGCGGAGGTCACCGCCCTGGAGGTTGCCTGGAGCGGATGGTGGAGGACAACCTGCGAGCAGGTGCCGCTGCGCTGGCCGAAGGACCTTGGCGCGCGGCCGTCTCGGCCGACGGTGGCGCAGCTGCGGAAGGTGCTCCTGACCTTCCCCGCCAACACGGGCACCTCCTTCTGCGCGGTGCGGCCCAGGCAGCTCAACGACCTCTGCGATGACGGCATCGAGGTCCTCGCCGACATCATCGGGGCCATCGAGCTCCACGCGTCCTGGCCCGAGATGACCACCAAGATCTGCTTCATCCAGAAGAGGCTCGGTGGTGTCAGGCCGATCGCGCTGATCATGGTGCTGGCCCGCGTGCAAGCCCGGCTGCGCCGAGACCTCGCGCGCGAGTGGGAGGTGCAGAACGCGCGCAGCTACTGGTGGGCTTCGGCGGGGCGCAGCTGCGAGCGAGCGGTCTGGCACCAGGCTGCTATGGGCGAGTGGGCCACGCAGCGTGGACAGGACTGCGGCGACGAGATGCGCTGGGTGGCGGCGGCCGTCCTGCTCGACCTGCTGAAGGCTTTCGAGCAGGTCAGGCACCGCTGGCTGCTGGACGCCGCGGTGCGCGCTGGCGTCCCGCTGTGGCAGCTCAAGCTTCAGGTGGAGCTGTACTGCGCGCCTAGGGCGCTCGCCTTGGGCAGAGCGCACTCCGACGTGATCGAGGCTCGGCAGGCGATCCTGCCCGGCGACGGCCTCGCCACCACCCTGCTCGAGCTGATGCTGATCGGGCCGATGGGCAGGCTGGTCGAGCAGCACCCGACGATGCAGCTGGCGGTGGTCGTGGACGACCTCATGCTGCACAGGTTCGGCGGCGCCGTGCGCGTGACGAGGGAGGTGGCGGAGGCGGCCTTCAAGCTCAAGACGCTCTTGACGGAGGTCGACCTCAACGTGGCGCTATCCAAGCCCCGCGTGCTCGCCAACGTGCCCGACGTCAGGCACGCCGTCGCTGCGAAGCTCAAGCGGCCGCTCGGCATGGTGTCGGTCAAGGGCGAGCGCAATCTTGGAGTCGACTTCTCTTGCGGCCGCAGGGTTGTGAGGAAAGTCCGCGGCGACAAGATTGCGCTTGCAGGGTTGAGGCTCAGGCGCGCGGCCATCTTGAAGACAGGCGTCGGGCGCAAGCTGGCAGTCCGCAAGGTGGCGCGCGGCGGGCTCGAGGCGCCCATCTCCTACGGCTTCTCCGTCACGGGCTGCGCCACCACGGAGCTCGACAAGCTGCGCCCGCTCATCTTCACGGCCGTGGCGCCGAGCGTGGCGGGGCGCTCGCGGACCCTCACGCTCATGCTCACGCCCTTCCTCGACCCTGTCTACCGCGCGACCCTGGCCCCAGTGATGGCGATGCTGCGCGCGGTCTGGGAGTGCACGTGATCGAGTACGGCCTGGCCCAGTGTGCGGCCACTAGCTGGTGCCAGGTGAAGGGGCCCTTCTCCGCGGTCAGGCTCTCCCTCGAGCGCGTGGGCTGGCAGATTGTCGACGGCAGCACCTGGCTCACGCACTGCGGCGACAGCCTCTGCATCTTCGAGACCTCGCCCTGGGTCGTCAAGCGCCTGCTCTGGATGGCGGTGGAGGCGCGGCAGTGGCGACAGGTCGGGCAGCGGCCTGGACTCGCCCACCTGGCTGATGGGGGCGTCCTCGAGCCCATCGTCAGGCTCACCAACGCGGGGGCGGTGCAGCGCAAGGGCTTCTTCGGCCGCCAGGTGGCCTACGTCGACGGTGATGTTGATGCCGCCGCTCCTCGGCCTGTCGTTCGACCTGCTGTGCTTCCTGAGGTTGCGGCGCTGCCTTCGGGAGAGGAGGCAACTCGAGGCGGCGTCGCGCGGTCAAGTGTCGCACTTCGAGCAGGCATCGCGCGGTCAAGCGGAGCGAACTACGACGGTGTTGCACTTCGAGCAGGCATCGCGAGGGCAGACGACGTGGGGACATTGGAAGACTGCCTGGCGGCGGGCCCGAGCATGGATGGCGTCGAGGCTGGCTCTGCTGCGCGTGGCCGCTCTGGCCCAGCTCTGGCTAGCGTGCTCGGGACTGGCTACTTGGTGGCGGTGGAGGCCAGCGCCGCTACTCTGCAAGCTGCGCGCGCTGAAGCTGGTGATGGATGGGGCGACCTCATCAACGACCTGCTCGGCCAGGTGGCGCCCGACCCCCCGCCGCGGCCAGACCCAGAAGGCGGAGCACCGCTCGGGCCTGGGCTGCCTGCTGGCGACGCTGGGGCTGGTGCCTGCCCAAGCGTCGTTCCTCCACGGCAAGGTGTGTCGACGGCTCCTCAGGGTGGGCTTGCGGATGCTGCCCTTAATGACGCTGCCCCCCCGAGCGGCGCGCCTCGAGGAGCTACGGGACCCGCGCCCGCCGCCCGCGGTGCGACGCTTGGGCGAGACGCTGGTCCGACAGGCCGGGCTGCGGCAGATAGGCCATTTGCTCAGAAGGCTAAGGCGATCCGTCTTGCGCCCAAGGAGTGCGGCTACCTCGCCTCGGTCATCGTGGGTGGACAGTGGCCACAGCGCCGAAAGTACCTGGGCGGCTACGCGGCGGACGACAAGCGCTTGCTGCGCGGCGACGCTGGCACGCTGCTGCACAGGCGCACGCGCTGCAGCGGATGGCCGCCCGAGCTGCGGCTGCCCAGCAAGATCCGCGAGCTGGCGGACAGGGCCGAGCTCGAGGAGGTGGAGTGCCTGCTGGAGCGCGCGCTGTGGCCTGCGCCCCGCGGCATCACCAAGCCGCCTCGGCCTCCTGGGCTCAGCTGGCTGGGCCAAGACGTTGGCGGCATGCTGCCGTCTGGCGACGTGTACCTGGACGGCTCCGCCTACGAGGGCGACTTCCAGCAGTGCACGAGCGTCGGCTGGGCTGCGGTGGTGCTGCAGGAGGGCGCGGACGCCTTCCGCACTGGCATCTCGGGCGCGCTGTGCGAGCCCTTCGCCGATATCAACGGCGGCGAGTTGGCTGCGCTCATCGGCACGCTGCGCCATGCAGCGCCGCCCGTCAGGGCCATCGTCGACTCGAACTTCGTGCTCAAGGGTGTGCTGGAACACGGGCCGCTGAACACGACGCGCTGGGGCTACGCGTGGGCCCACCTCTGGCGCGAGCTCTGGCGGCTCGTCGAGGACTTCGGGGGGATAGGCCCGCAGGGCCTGACCCTCAAGAAGGTCCCTGCGCACGTCTCGCGCCGCCGAGTGGTCGACGACGGCGTCACCACCGCGCGCGACTGGATCGGCAACAGCATCGCTGACCAGGCCGCGAAGCGCGCGGCTGAGCGCGCGAGAGTCGCGCCCGAGGCCCGCCAGCGCCTGCAGTCGGCACGGGAGCTGGTCGGGCGTGGCCTTGTGGGTCTCCGCGGTTGGGGCCGCCGTGGGCGGGGGCGACGCCACCCACCGCGCGGCGAAGCCCAACAAGGTGGCCCCGCGAGCAGCGCTGCAGCCCGTGGCTGCCAGGCTCGGCTGCGACCTCCGTGGGCCGCCTGGGGCGCGATGGTGCAGCAGGTGCCGCTGGACGGAGCGCGCCAGCGAGTGCCCTGGCTCGATTGTGGCGTCCGCCCTGGACCACAATAGGAGGCTGCGGGCACAGGGCGCTCTGGCGCACGTGATCGCGAAGATCGAGCCGCAGGTCGAGGCCCAGCTGCAGCGCGAGATGCCGCTGCTGGCCTGCCTCGTCTGCGGGGCCACGGGCGCGGCGAGGAGCTCGTCATTTGCCCGCGCCTGCGGGGAGCCTGGGGCCAAGGGCAAGCTGGCGATTGCCCGCCTCGCCAGAGGCTTCGCGCCCGGCGTCGCTGGCCGAGCGGCCGTCAGGATGGAGCAGCTCGGCGACGACGACCTGGACTCCTTCGGCGCCGCCCTGGACAGGCCGCTCCCTGCGGCGCGCGAGGGGGGAGGTGCTCCCATATCCCCATCGTGGCGCCCTCGGTTGCGGCCGCGGCTTCGGGGGCGACGCGGAGCTCTTCGGCGGCGTCCTGGACGGGCCGCTGCCCTGAGGCGCGCGCGGGGGCAGGTGGCCCCACATCCCCGCGTTGCGCCCTCGGCGGCGGCCACTACTGCCTGTTCGTCGCGGTCTCCCTCGACGAGCTCGCGCGGGTCTTCCTGACCCTGGCCCCGCGCGCTGGGGCGCGCGCGGGCCGCCCGTCCGCTCGACAGCGCGGCCGGAAGCTCGCGGATCCTCCCCCTCCTCCTCCTCCGCCTCCCCCCCCTCCTCCTCTGCCTCCTCCTCCTCCTCCTCCTCCTCCTCCTCCTCATCCTCCTCCTCTGCCTCGACTGACCCAAAAGGCCCCTGCGAGGGTTGAGTTCTACTGAAGGACTTGCCCCGCTGGGGGGGCCACCGTGTGCGAATCCCGAAGCGTGCCAGAACCTTGTTCTCAGGACTGCAACGCCACGAGTCAATCTGACTGTTACGTCTCGGCGGTCTTGGACCGTGCCGCAAGACCATTCCTGGGACTTTCAGCACCGCGAATCCACGTAACTGGTGCGCCCTGGCAATTCTGAGCCGCTCCAAGACACCATCTATTTGGTACGTTAACCATGAGGGCTGGTGAAACTCTTGCAGATGTTAAGAACGAATGTGCGCGGCGCTAAGGCAGAAAAGGAATCGCCTTCAATACTTGAAGCCCTTGCAAATGTTTAACACGAATGTGCGCGGCGCTGATACGAGAGCTACATGTTGAAATCAGCCCGCCCTCAATCCATGAAGCTTCTGCCATTGTTTAGAACGGATGTGCGCGGCGCTCAGGCGAAAGCCACATTTTGAACTCGACCGACCCTCAATCCGCGAATCTCTTACACATGATGTATAAACGAATGCGCACGGCGGTAAAGCGAAAACCACAGTTTGCAAACGACTCGGCCTCAATCCGTGAAGGTTGCAAATGTTTATAAAACGAGTGTGCGCGGTGCTAAAGCGAGAGCCACATGTTGAAAACGACCCGCCCTCAATCTGTGAAACGGTTGCCAATTCTTATGTTTCAGGACCATAAGCGGTGAGGTCGTCTCAGGCGAAACGCCCGGCCCGCCCTTTCGACTGGGCTCGGGGTGCGACAAGGGAAGAGTTACATAGAAGGACAAAGAATGGAGGAGGAGGACGAGGGCGAGGACGAGGAGGAGGATGAGGAGGAGAAGGAGGAGGAGGAGGAGGAGGAGGAGGATACGGGAGAGAGCAGCGGAGGCAGGAGAAATTGGGCACAAAGTGAAAACCCTTTGCGTCCAGACCGCTGGTGGTAACCCATCGGCAGCCGAATCGGGCGCAGGGGAAGCCTTTGTGCCCGAACGGACCGAGGCGGAGCAGTTCGCAGCAAAGCTGGGTTCCGTGCTGCCTCACGCCTGAGCGCGGCGGCGCAGATTTCGAGGCCCGCGGGATTGTCCCAACGGTTTGCTCTCGTGCCACAGCGGCCTGCTGGGTTGCCCCAGCAGCCTGGCCCTCGGGGTTGCCCCAACGGCTTCGCGACCCCGCCATCGGCGACCGCGCTTCTGCCAGCCGAAGCTACGACGGCGCTAAGGAAACTCGACCTGCGCGCACCTGGCCAGAGGGAGAGAGAGCCGCGCGAGGAGAAGAGGCAGGGGGGGAGGGTACGGACACGGAGAAGAAGGGGGGAGGGGGAGGGGGAGGAGGAAGAGGAGGAGAATTAAAAGGAGAAGGAAGAGGATAATGAGAAGGAGGAGGAGGACGAGGAAAGAGAGCACGGCGCGGCCTCGGCCAGGGCGAGGAGGAAAAGGGCGATGGGGGAGACAGGACGAGAGCATCCGCGATCACGAGGACGGCGATGAGGGTTACTCCAAAACGAGTTCGGATGATTCCCATACGGGGTCCTACAGTCAGAGTTATTGTGTATTGCGATGCTGTGGCCTAGAGCGTTGGCAACCCTCTCGGTGTCGTAGAATGGTCCAAATCTTCGGTGACGTAAGCGAATACAGGTGTAAACCTGCAACCAAAAATGGGGCCGCGAAAAGAATACATGTGTAATCCGCCAAAGGAAGCCATTTACAAACCGCCACAGAAGGGGATGTATGTTCAACTCACCACAGCACAAGGGCAAATTACAAGGTTGCCAGGACGACGCATGTTTCTGCAACATGCTACAACCAAATTCAGTTGATACTTCACTACAAGAATTCTTTCGCACGGCTGTCACAAAACATTCTTGCAATGCCGCCACAGCAAAACTCAGTTCGTATGATGGAACGAAATGGGTCCGCTTGCAACCCGCAACAGAGGGAATCATTGTGCGACCCACCACAAAAAACAAATTGAAATCTGCCATAAGGAGAGTCGTCTTGCAATCTGCCACATGATGAATCGTGTGCAAGGCCGCTTTAAAGGGGGATACATGTGTGCTCAGCCTGAACACGACGCTGTGTGTAACGAGAGTAAAATAGCGGAGTGGGAAAGAGCAGGAAGGGGATAGTATGAGGGAGATGTTCCTGACTCGTGGAGAGCATAATCGGAAGGTCAAGTGGGAGGAACGACGAGGACGAAGAGGGAGCACGCAGCAGAATAGTAGTGGTAGTGCAGTGCGCACTGCTCAGTCCGTAGGAGCAACACTACACATGTTCCGTTGACGCGACACGCCGTCCACAGTGCATCTAATACGATTGACTGGTACACGGCGTCATGAATTCTCAACCCGCGGCAAAAAGAAACACGGTTGAAGACAACAAATCAAAGGAATCGATCGGTGGGCCACCACCAACAGGAATCGATGTGTGAGGCCACAGCACAGCGATGCGTTTGTGAGGCCGTCACACGATGAAATCGATTTGTTATAGACGCCACAGAAGGAACGAACTTATGATGCGCCACAGAATGAATCATGTCGTAAAGCCGCCGCACAAGGAATATCGACTGGCCTTCGGCACATCCCGCCACCGTGCTTGGGTTGTGGGTGAGGGTCCTCAGGGATGCTTCTTGGGGGTCTTTTCGGAGCGGTCTCGGGGGCCTCTTGGGGGCAGTTAAGGATGCCTGTTGCGAGCCTTTTCGGGGACGCTTGGGAGCTTCTTTGGGGCTTCCTGATGGCCTTTGGGGAGCCTCTTGGGGCCTTTTTGGTGCCTCTTGGGGGCCTCTTGGGACCGTTTTTGGGGGGACCTCTCGGGGCCCGGGGCTCGAAACGTCCGTGCAGGTCTCCCGTCGGGGCCCCCTCCTGGAGCCGTACAGTCGGGGCCCTGAAGAAGGAACCCTTTTGGTTGGGGAGGGGCTCCGCGTTCCTTAAGTGTTTCACAACTTGCCTCAGGTTTTCCTTATGTTTCCGATAGGTAATCGAATTTTAACTTTTATGGAAAAAAAAGGCCTCGTTCCTTATTTAGGGTTCCTTAGGTCAACGCCCCAACTGTATTGGGGGCCTCTGGGGTCGTCCTTGGCGTCTCCTGGGCCGTCTCTTGGGGGCCCTCTTGGACGCCCCGCGGGCTCTCCCGGCGCGAGTTTTTTCGGGCCCTCTCGGGCCGCCCGGGGCGTGGGAGCGCCGAACGGGCGAGAACGCCAAAGCAGCTCAGACACCCAAAAAGCATACACACTGCTCATTTCCAATTCTTCGAGAGTTCTTTGATTTTTGGGGGGGGGGGGGGGGCAGATCCTCTCATTTCTAATTCTTCAATCCTGGGCCTCTTCCTGGCCACTAGGGGGCCAGGAACAATTAGAAACGAGAACAATTGGAAATGAGCACGATTAGAAATGAACGACGTGTACAGTCAGACTGCTGAAGTGAGGAACGACTAATGAGGAACGCAGCCCTGTCAGCCCCAAAACCGCTTGCATGCACGAGGAGATCTAGAGGAACAGCCAGCCATGGAAGGAACTGAAGAGCATCGAGCTCCTTCCGATCCCAACCTGCTCCTTATTTCAGCGTCTTGACTGTAATGAATGTTTGCCTGCTGGGGTCCTCCTGTGAGGCCTCTGGAAGGCCTCGTCGGTCATCTTGGGGGCATCGTGGGCCGGCCATTCTGGGCCTTGGGCGTCTTGGAGTAATCTTTCGGCGGCGACTCGGGGCCCTCCTGGACCTTCTTTGGGGCCGTTGGGGAACCTCTTGGCCCGTCTCGTGGCCCTCCAAGGCCCGAAAAGATCATCCGAGAAGACGCTGGGAGCCCCAGGGGCTACGCGACGCGCCCCAGAAGATTTGGCGATGTTGGGCCAGGCCCCTGAAAGAATCGTCAGGATTGGTGGCTGAGGACTGATGTTCCAGGCGATCCAACAAGGGACCTGAGGACACTCCAACTCGTACCTCAAGGGCACGGTGGCGGACATTTGTGAGGCCGCCACGGAAGGAATCAATGTGTAGTCTGCCGCAAGAGAAATCAAATATGTAAGGCCACAACAAATAACATGTGCTTGTTGACCACCACAGAAGACATGTGTTCGTTAGGTTGCCTCGCAAGAAATGCAATTGCGAACGAAAAGAACCGTCTCGTAAGTCGACATACAGGGAATCATTCAAAAGGCTGCCGCAAACAGGGAAGAATGCGGAGGCCGCCACGAACAAATCAATGTGCAATCCGCCGCGAACGGAGTCCATATGTAATGCCTCCATTCAAAGGAGTATGCACGTGGGCCACCGCCGAAAACTTGTTGTTGGAGGCCGCAACAGATGATATGTGTTTTATGCCGACAAAAAACGAGACATGTTGCAACCCGCAATGAGCTAAATCCAGTATCGCCGCAGAAGGAATCAATGATCCCATACGCGGGCCACCACATAAGGAATCGACCTGCGAAGCCGCCACAAAACGACATCGACGTATATGCCGCCACGACGGGTGAACATGCAATCTGCCACGAA